CTGGAAATCTTTTTTACTTTGGTAAATAGTAGGTTTAAGACAAGCTGTGGCACTTTGTATAGAGAACGTTAAAGAGATTAGAGTGAAAAATACTTTCCACTGGAACTCGAATTACTATAAAACAGTAATAACAGCAGCTCAACCCATTACAGGATGTTAGGCTTATATAGGGAAAAATGGCAGGGTTTTAAACTAGTTATTAATTTGTGTGAATCTTGTTTGTTCTGATGCTGTACGTGTGCACACCTGACTGCTAAGAGCAAATACTCCTTTCAAATACATTTGACGTAAACTGGCAGAAAATAGGATCTTCTGAATCAAGCTCAACGCCCTGTTCCATGCTCAGGCTGGGTGCTGGCTTTATTTACAGTACATACACGCTTCCTTTTGGCCTGTTTGGCTTAATGCTTTTGTCGCTCTGCAGAATATGGTGACAGCAAAGACGTTATAATCTATGTATGCGCATGTATCTGGGGCTGCATCTTGCTCATGTTATGTGTTCAAACAGTGCTGTCTATTCTATCATCTACTCAGAAACCACAGTGAGTTGACGGAGGCACAACTGACTCTTATGTGTGTAATCAAAACCACAGAGGGAAATTTTGCAGTCCTGACTATTTCTTATATATAGGACAATTAAAGGAAGTCCACTCTGGCAGATAGCATAGATCTGCCTTTTTCCTACCTCTTCTCTGAAGCCCTTTCAAAGGACTTGAGACATACTGCTTGTTCTTCCTAAGGAGAATAGAATGTCAGTGCTGCTGGACAGGGGAATGGGCTGCAGAGTGTCTTTGCAGGAATCTGACTGGAAATCTCTGAATCCAGAGCATGCTCTGTTGCAAAACCTCAGCTGGCAGGTAGCAGCAGCAGCACCCATTTTCCCAGGGCTTCTCCCCCAGCCCCTGCCTCTTGAAAACAGCATGCCAGACTGGTGGAGTGGCAAAAGCAGTCGTAGAGATATCCTTTGTCTTTCCAGGATTTAGCCCCCACATTAGAATAGAATAGTTCAGTTGGAAGGGACCTTCAAAGATACGTAATCCAACTGCCTGACCTTTTCAGCTCTAACGAAAAATTTAAAGCATATTAATGAGAATATTGCACAAGCATCTCTTGAACATTGGCAGGTATGGGGAAACAACCACCCCTCTAGAAAGCCTGTTCCAGTGCTTGAGCATCCTCAGGGCAAATAAATTGTTTCTGAAGTCCAATCTGAACTTCTCCTGGTGCAGCTTTGTTCTGTTCCCATGCATCCTGTCATAGTTTCTCAGGAGCAGAGCCCAGCAACTCCCTCCGCACTTCCCCTCCTCAGGAAATTGCAAAGAGTGAGGAGATCACCTCTCAGTCTCCCCCAGACTAGGCAACCCAAGTGTCCTCAAATTCTTCTTACAGCATATGCCCTCCAGCCCTTTTGCCAGCTTGGTTGCCCTCCTCTGGATACCTTCAAGAGCCTATCAACCTTCTTACATTGTGGAGACCAGAACAGCACACTATTAAAGGTGAAGCCATATTAATGCTAACTATAGTAGGAGAATTGCTTCTTTTGACTGGCCAGTCAGTGCAGGTAACTGCAGAATTTTAGTTGTATAACAGGAAAATTACAATTCCTTCTTGGCAGAAAGAACAGAATTTCCCAAGGACACTGTCTTTTCCACTGCTTCAAATACATTGCTTTGACAAAGATGACTATTGTCAAACTCTGCTTCTTCCTGAGTGTTTCTCTTATTTAATTGTGAGATTCTCCATTGACTATCAATTATAACCCACTATGTGTCAGTATGCAATGCTGGTATCTTTTACCTGTCTCGCAATAAATGGATGTCTGACTAGACATTCTGCACAAGTCTTGAACAGATTTTCTGTTTTCCAGTTCTCTACTGTGTCTCACTGCCTCTACCCCACCTTATTATGGTAAAGTTTATCCGCATGAGAAGTGTTAAAAATAATTTTCTGCCTATCTGGTATGCACAACCCCATTCTAAATCCTGTTGAACACAGATTTTTTACTAGATTTACAGTAAATGTACTTTTTTTCCTATTCTCTGTAGTATATGTTCTTTTTCTTCCTTTCTATTTTTCCATTATTTTTTTATTTTTTATGTTCAAAGCTGGGTGGTAATACACAGCTCTATAGCTCTTACAAAATATGCTGTGTCACTGAGTATCCGAGAAGCTTGGAAACAGTCAACACTTGATTTCCCAGACCAACATCTGCAGATTGTGCCAGTGCAATGAGTTAACATTCATCTTTGAAAAGCTTATGCATCCATCTGCAAAACTTTAGAAGCAGGTAATTTTGTACTTACAACTTTTACTTGTAGTAAGCAGATGAAAAAGAAGTAAGTGCCTGTGGATGTGAAGAGGAGGCAGTCCGCTAGACTTCGGAGTGCCTTTCAAAGGAAAGACTGAAGTTTGGGTCAGTTGGGGAAAGAGAGGTAGAATTGTTCATTTGAGTAAGTCTTGCTTTTAGGACTGACTTTCAAATGAGCAAATATGAGCAGAAGTTCCTGCTCAGAATTCAAGTCTGGCTACTTTTTACATTCTCCTTCTCTGATGTGGAACACCAAGGACACCCAGTCTTGGATTTTGGCTCAGTATTCCCAGCAGGCAAGAGAGCAAGCTCTGTAACTTAAGACTTTTATGGAGGTTTTGAAGAAAAGTTTGTGATTGAGCGTGGGCTAAACTCTGTGTGTAGATGTATTGTTACCAATGTGCTCTGGGACATACCAAATTATATTGTTACTTGAGGGAACAATGATGAAATGTTTTGATGCAGCCTTTTGTCTTTTCTGTGCACTCCAACATGTTACAGCTTGTTTTAAGTAAGCTGTTACATAGGTTGGTTTTGTCTCTTGTCTGTGAAGTTCCTGTGATAGCACTGCAAAAGTAATTACTAAAAACCCTTATCTCATCTAGCTGGAGAACAGTAATGACTCCTGAGGAACTTAATGGCTCTGTCATGCTCAGATTTACTAAGTAGGTAGGATTGTAGTTATTGAAATGCAAGGACACAGATCTCAGTTTGGAATACTGCTTAATGCCATGCCTGTGGCTAAGTGGCATTTTGTGAAACATTTTGAGTGTACGTATACAGTTGTTCTAGTTGGAGTCTGTGTCTGCCAACAGTAGAACAACAAAGCTTCTTCAAGGGGTCTAAGAACTACTAACTCAGTGTTAGAATACTAGATCTCGGTCTTACTTTTCTGAAATTCAACCTTACTTTTCTGAAATTCAACCTTACTTTTCTGAAATACAACCTAACTGCAGTTTTTATTACCACTCTTCTCACACTTCCATTGCATTTCCAATATCCCAGAGACTAAAAGGTTTGTGTGCTTTGAAGTACTGGGGTGGGATGGATTTCCAGGTAAAGAACTTGGGTCTCATACTGACACGAGTATTGCTAGGGTAGAACAGAGCAGAGCTGATTCTTGTGCTCGCAGCAAACAGTTTTTTGGCTTGGGGAATAACAGTCACAATATAGTAGAAGATACAAGTAATAAATGTTTTCATTTTTTCTGATCCTGTTGATCCTAAGTTAAGCATTTGATTCCCTGACCTGCTTTTAGTTAATCAGAGGAAGTTCCTTAGCTGTCAAGGTATCTACTCTCTTTGGTTTAGTAGTCCATTCGGAGAATTTTATCTTAAACTTCATCAGGTTGAGTAAAAAATATTTTTTCTTTCAAATGCACCATTTTAAAACAAAAATATATTTCTCAAAAATGTCTCGATCTAGAAATGGTTAGGCATGTCCTGTGTGAATTTAGATTTCCTTTCACTAATGAAACAGCCCTTTTCCAAGCACTTAGTTTCCTATCACAGAAACTATCATTTCCTATCATTTATCTCCTTCGTAGCTGAAAACTCAAGTTTTGCTCAGTGCATGTCAGTACAGAGCCGAGGAACTCTTTTCCCTCTGACTGGAGCACGTAAGCTATTCTCAGCATGTAACACAAAGATACCTCTGAAGTGTGTGGGCACATAATCAGGTAGAAGAGCTTTTGAAAATGCATCTGGTTTCGAATAAGGGACTTTATTTTTTCTGTAACCATTAGTTATGGAATTAGTTTGATGGCAAGATTTACGTTTACAGTGTGTTCTTAGTTCTTGCTTTGAAGTGCGGCAGCAAATGCAAAAATCAAACTGTCCATTGAATTAATCACCAGTGAATCCAGTTTGACCTTTTGCAAATGGCAGTACATTCAGTGCTAGCAGTAATGGTGATCTTGAGAGGGTTGTTTGTTCACAAAGTCAGAAGGAAGTCACAGAACTGGCTCTTTCTGGCCCCTGCCTGACCGTGGCCTCCAGGAAGCTCAAATAGTGAGGTAATGGGGACTCCGTGTCTGAACCATCTACCCTGTAAACTGCTCTGCCAGAGTTGGTAAAGTTGCACTACAGCTTTTTCATTATTCTGACTGTTGAAAGAATCGATATGGCTTACCATATTCATGCACTGTGCTGCTAGCATTCAACTCGTATACTTTTCAGAGTACTTGAAGCTGGAGATGCATTAGGCCTGCCTGAGCTTCAGCTGGACAGTCTGGGTGTCTATGTGTTTGTGTGGTATTTAGATTAGAGAGAAAGCTGGAAGGTCTTAATGTGAAAGACCCAGAACTGCTGCTTGTGAGAGGGGGAAGTACTCACACTCTGAGATCCTTGTACCCTGCCAGCTCAGGTGCAGATAGCCAGGCATGACAGTGCTACCACAATCCATTGTCCCAGCTGAGTCTCGGGGAAGAAGAGGTGTTATGGCTGTGACTAGGCAAGCTGCTAACAGTTTTAAGTGGGACATCTTCTTTCTTTAAGGATACTCTGAGGGACATACCTCCTCCCATCCATATTTACTGACAAGGTTTGGGCCAATGCAGATCAGGCAAGTTCTGTGCATATTCAGCTGCAGAAGAAAGATGCCCTCAGAGTATCATATAGAGTACTTAAGTCAAATGTTTAAAATTAGACACTCTCTGTGCATTTCAATAACCTTTTCTTCTTTATTTTGTAAACCAACCTGAAAACCTGGATGTTAGGAATAGTTCCTGAGCCCGTGGGCAAGGCTGGCTAGATGATCCTCTGCATGGATACTTGCACTCAAGTGTGTTGTCTTTCATCAGGTCTGCAGGGAACAACAGTACTGAGACTTGTCAAGTCTGCTGCCCCTTCATCTCAGTCTTTCCCAGGTACACAGCTGTCTGAAGTTCTGTTTGCATAACACTGTCTTGTTCACCATCTTACAAGATGCAAAGAAGTGAAATTCTGTCTGTAATTTGTTACATGACTTTTTCATCAGCAGTTAGGAGTATTTTATCAGGTTAGAAAGTTTCATATGATATAATGGCGGGTTTCGATTTAGAGGTCCAAAAACATGAAAAAGAAATAAAAGTTTTTTGTGGTTTTTGTCCTGATGAGCTTTGTGAACTTGCTTGTTTGTGCCCTTCTGGGCAAACTGCAAAACAGGCTTTCAAACTTGATAAGAGTATAGTGTGAAGCAGTGCCTTTTGAGCACAAGCTAGATTAAAAATAAACAAATAAATAAAGTTTAATCATAATCAATAGTATATCACAGATGTAAATAGATTTGTTTAGAAAGTAGGTCAAAACTTAGAGCTTCAGATTAGCTTAACAACTTGCTTAGGAAAGTGTGTACCTATACCTCTAGTTATTTTTTCTACCAGGATATCAGATTTTACAGTGAACACAGCTATGTGATAAACACATATAGCTGCTGGCTGCTGACAGAGGGACATAATTCCACAAATGCCCTCTTATCTTCATTGAGGCTTAGGTAGATTCTCTCTTGTTCAGGCTGATAAAAATTGAGCTCAGGCACTCAACAACTAGAAGGGACATGATTGTTAGGATGGTTTTCCACACATGCTCTACTCACATACAGCACATGAGACTTAACCGCTCTGGCAATCAGGTGGAATATGCCTGTGGTTCTCTGGTATAAATTGAGTACAATTGATTGCTTTCGACATCTCGTTCTCAGTGTCTTGGATATGTTTAGAAAATGCTGGTGCCAGCTGGCAGATTGCTGGTGAGGCTGAATGCACAAGGCTAATGTTCTTTCAGTGGCATTTCATCCCCACCATCCTTTCATCCGTTCTTCTCAATTAAGATAGATGCTTTGCCTGCACCTTTTTTGCCTTGATTTTCTAAGGCTTGACTTTCTTTCTCAAGCCTCACCTTGACTTCTGATTTTTGAGGTAGGATTTTTTTTTAACTCAGATTCAAGCAATTAGTTTCTTCTTTTTCCCAGCTAATTGCTCTTACGTTAGCTTCACTAATCCATAAGTGCCAGTAGTCTCTGAGATACTGGATCTCGTTTAATTTCCAAAGAAGCAGAAGAGAGCTAAAACAAGAAAATGTCACAGCATAAACAGACAGCAGAAGGGAAGAAAAAAGTAGATAAAACAGTTTCTTATCCTCCTACTTTACATTCATTCACTCAGCTATATCACATGTAACATCAGAGCATTATCATCTCTTGAAATTTACTTCTCACAAGATTGATAAGTAGACAATGTCCCCTAATTTGTACAATTGCACCAAGTCAGATATTCTGAGGAGAGAGATTGTTTTCCTGCCCAGCAGCTGTCATGGGATTAAAGGTTCCAATGTTTGTTAGTAAAGGTAGTCAATATTACTTCAATATTTTCCCTGAGAAAATAAGACTGAAATCAAAGCTGTATTTCAGGGGGAGGGAGGAGGAGGAGGAGGATTTTTAACACAGTATTTGTTTAAAAAATATGGAAGAAAAGCTTTGAAACTATGGAAATGTTTCTTAGGATTTTCTTTAAATGAAAAGTTACATTTTTAGTTCCAGTGACTTTTCACTTAGGAATTTAAATTGATGTAAAAAAACCAGAGTGGAATGTTTAAAAAATCTTGAAGGATTTTGATTGACTTAATCTGTGTTGTATCTGGGTCTCCATTTGTGGAAAGTTTCATCTTTTTATTCTGATTCCATTATTTTCTAAAAATAGAGGACATATTGAGGAAACTTAAGTATTATAATACGAGCCATTGAGAGGAAGAGCTAATACCTCAGACTTGAAATTATATTACCCCATTTTCTTTAACAGGTAGAAAAAGAAAAAAGAATTTTGCACAAGTTCTAGTTCATAGCAGTAAGAGTAAAATATCTGATGTGTGCAGGAAGTTTAGCACAGAAGAGAAGAGCTCAAAGAATCAGAAGACAAATTCCTTATTCATGTACAGATTCAGATACAAGCCCCCTTTGGCCAGCATGAGATGAAAAGTTTTTCATTTTTTTTAGAGGTGCTTCCTGTTGCTTCCCAAATTAGCTCCAAATTTCAGAGCTGCTTTGGACTTGTGTTTGCTTTGAAGTGTGATAAGCCTTATTGTTTTCTACTAGTTAAATGAAAGGCTGATTGATTTTATCAATCTCGATCTTAGCTCAACCCTGAAGTTATCTGTTAGCCTAAAGAAAAATAACAACAACAAAAACAGAACAAAGGAGAAACAAAATATTGAGTGTAACATTTAGAAAACTTTGACAATAGCACTAGAGCTTCAGATTTCAGCCTTTGCTTTTTATAAATTAATACCAAATTCCTTGTCATTAAAGATGTTTTTGCCAAATTATTGTAGAATTGGAGAAATAATGTGATACATTTTTCTATGTCGGAGGCTTGGATGAGAAAATTTTCAATTCAGGTAAAAACTAACAGGACTATAGAGTATCTTAATGCCTTGGGAGATGCTTAAAGAAATGAAATGCCTCACTGCCAAAATCTGTAGCACCTCACTGTTCACGCAGAACTCTGCAGTGGAGAATTCCGTTTTCAAGTTGTTGCTTGATATAGACAGTTTTGAAATACAGACTGTGGACTTGTGCATATATTTTTGCCGTTTATTTGGAGAATTTTGGTTGTACTATGCTATTTATTTGCAGATATTAGGATTAACTTGATATTTATAAGCCAATATTTGAAATATCGTGTCTTCAGACGTCATATGTACAACAATTGTTCCATCGGGGCTGGTACATATATGTGCAACTTACACAGTCATTTCAAAAGATCAGAATAGGTAATTAGAGGAGACAGTTATGAAGCTTTAAATATTTCCCTCTCAAAACCAAGCTAAGTGGAATGGAATCTGTGTGATTTGACTTGATTTGAACTTGATTTGAACACATTTTTCATTTTTAATTAATATCTTCTAGTTTTCTGAAATTAAAATAGTTTTATGGAATGAAAAATTCCACTGTGCTTTCAGAACAACAACAAAAAATCAATTCCAAACTAAATCTGAAGTAAAAATATAACAATAAAGTATTGCTGTTTTTAGAAATTAATGGAATATTACAAATGGTGTGATGGAAACCTCATATTTTTTCATTCAGACAGTGTGTCAGTATTTTGGCATTTGTTCCATTTGAGACAGGAGTTTTTTAGAGGTCTTGTGGAGGAAACATTTCATTCTGAGTAGGAATTATAAATGGAGTAAGCATAGCTCTATGATTTATTCTTCCCAGAAGCAGTGACCTGGATGAGTAAGAGTGAGAACTTAAAACTCAATGACAGCGTATGTGAAGACAGTTCTTTATAAAGGTATTAATCTCTGAACATTGGTGTAGTCAAGACCCTATTTGGTTCATGCCTGCCTGAGGCATACCACATCCACTGGTGTCCTTGATATTCTGTAAGCTATTACTCCATAGAAAGATTGCATACTGAATCATTCTGTTGCCTGAGAGTCAATATTATGTGTGTCCCAGAGAAATGACAACATCAGCTGATAAACAGAATTTTAGAGGTGGAAGCGAGGGACAGTTTCTGATCAATCAAAAAGGTGAATACTAGGAAGTAAGAAACATACTTTTAATTGCATAAGTTTGGAGGTGGCTACCGGATCATGGATGCATAGATTGAGTGCAGTTTTCCTGCTGAATATATTCATCATAATAGAAAATTGTCTCCAATCTGTGAATGCTTTACAGAACTGCTTGAAGAATCGCAACTACGAGGACAATTGTTAAGTACATAAGGGAAGATATTTATGTTTGCAAGCCATTGCTCTCATGGAAAGAAGCCAGCTTTAGTGCAGTACTAATTATTAGCATAGATCTGCTTATTCTTCTCATATTAGTGTGTGTAATCCTGGTGAGAAATACTCTGAATTTCTTCTGCTCGTTGCCTGCGTAGTGGCTCTGCCATGGATGGGGTTAGGCCATCACAGCAAAGCAGACCCTTTTGTTATCTCTGCTAGTGACATGATGCTAAGAGGTCCTCAGCCCACAGGCTGTCACATAGCCAGCCCACCTAATCCTCATCCTGCTGCTGTGGCTGGAAGAAGGTCTTGTGGTCATTTTGCCACGGCTGCAAAATTTCTGCAGCAGAGGATGAAGCAGATGAATATGGAATTAATGCCTTCAGTGCTAGGAGGAAAAGGTCGCTATTGCAAGATGCTGTGTACCTCCCTCCTCACTGGGAGCAGCTCATAGTGTTTACTACCTTGCAGGAACATTGCAGATCCAGCCAGTTAGTTAAAAATGCTAGTATTCTTGAGCAGATTGACTGAAAATTGTGATTATTTATATATTTGTGGATGAATAACTGATAGACTACCATTTTTAGTTTAGAGAATATTTTGTGGTTTAATGGTTTCTGACAAGCAATATGAGCAAATGCTAAATTGAAAAAGGCAATAATATATGGAAGTTCACAAATGTGAGTGTCACTGGCAGCAATTCGTTCTTTCTTGTTTGCTGCCCAGCCACTTCTCATTAGGTTATTCTTCATGGCTTAAAGTCGACCAGTTCCAGGAACAAATCAATACCAGGGAAATCCTTTTGTCTTTTTCTAGGGCAAAACATGTAAAGAAAGCTCAGTCAATGTGTCTTTTAATAACATCTCATGGAAATGCCTGGATTTCCCTTCATGTTCTATAATTAATTGAGCTCCTTGCCACCCACAACGTATAACTGTTCCCCTCTATAATTCTCTTTTGGCTTAATTGCCATTTGTTTTTCTGTTCTATTTGTCTTTTGCTATTTCTTTTCTTTTTTTTCCTTTTTTTCTTCCTTTTTTTTTTTTTTTTTATGGTGTTGGATGTGCTTTGTACTTAGTTTTATCTTTCTGTGCTTTTGCTTCTAAATGTCAGCATAATTTTTCTGCCTTATAATATTGGAGATGTTATAACCATCAAT